GATGTGAATGGTACCAAATTAGCAAACCATACCATACCACTTTTTTGGGACCCTTCTGTTGGGATGCCTAGCACAGTAGTCCATCATGTGGCATATGCTACATAAAACTTGCCAAATTTCACCTGTTAGGATTAAACCAAACCTATGAGGATAAACTAAAATACCAAGCATTAGTCATAACACATTGACTCAGATAACTGCCATATTGCTGCTAGTGCTGCATTTAAAAAAGCTGAATTGAACTGCAATATAATACACATTTGGATAATTAATCATTTCGAGTTATTTTGAGATTTTGAGTTTTTATAACCACACCAGGATATTTGCTTTTGATTATTTGTACATCCCTCAGGGGCGTAGATTACACGGGGGACGCGGGGGACGTGTCCCCCCCACTTTTAATATCACGTAAATTCGTCCCCCGCACTTTTTCGGGCAAGTGTGTTCACATAGAGGTTTTCAAGGTTTTCACTTCTGAAATGATGGCTACGCCCCTGACATCCCTAATAGTATTTCTAAAGTTGTAGGACACCATTAGGTATTTAAGAGATGCAGTCATTCACTGTGGTAATTACTTGCTGTTCATGTTCAGTTTTGGTGAATTCTAAACTGAAATCAAATTTGAGACCAAGATTATCGTGTTATCATGGCAATTCCATGAGCCAATGATATCCAGATTCCCACATTCATTCAGAAGTTACCCAATAACAGGCTAGACCCAACAAGATTGTCTGTCTTCATTTACCTCCCTGGAGTCTCAGAACTGATGGACCCCCCATGGCCAGATAATACCCCCTATGAGCATCATCTCATTGCCATTTCCTACCTTTGGTCTGTCTTTTTGTTTTATGCTCATATCGAAAAATATGGGTACAAAGCACCCCAATGTCGCTATAAGCACGCCAATAACTGTAGTAACTTTTTTTTTAAACATTATATTTATTACAATTTTGAAATGGCTTAAAATAGATAATTTACAATAACAATGAATTAAACAACCCAGAAAAAAAACAAGTATATGCCTATAAAATTAGAACAATAAAAATAGACAAGAAAATAATTAAATCAAATGTTATTAATTAAATCAAGTTATTATTAAATAACTAAAGTTAATAAACAGAAAAGGGGGAAAGGGCAACAGAAATTCCAATAACTGATATTTTGATGAAAACTATAGTTATCATAGTAAAATTTTAGGCATTTTAGGCAAGGTTAGGCTTAGGCATGTTTTCACAACCACTGATCACAAACATCAACATAAACTCAGTAGAAAAAATTACTTTCCTAATACATGTTCCCTTATGGTCCAAAATTAATAATCTCACAGTTCCTATTTTTTTCATAAAATATAATTCCTACAACTAATTTGTCAAATACATAAACTTCTTTGGTATTTGTAGTCCTTATGTAAGCTTAGAAATTATGTTTTAAACAAAACAATGGTTTCAAATATTCATGTTTGGGGACTGTTTCAAAACCAAAAGATAACCACAGACTTATTTTACTATTTAATTTTGACTCCATGGCTCGGAAATACCAATTCTCATCTGGATTTTAGAATTAAAAATTGAGCACTCTATTATTTAAAGATTTCCAAACTGACAAAAGTCCAGGTTGACCGACACAAAGACAGGAGCCACATCGCTGTAGAACATATGAGCGAGAGATATCATAGAAATCATTTAAAATATGGTTTATATGCATGAAGATCAATAGAACACTCTTGTTTTACTTTTGAATTACAATCAAAATGTAGATCATTGCAGATATGTAGCCCACAGAAACCAGTGTAAGAATATGCTAGCAATGTAGCACTACTTCCTGTCTGTGTAAAGGTTCAACTCTTGAAACCACAGAGTTGTGAGCAGTTGTGCAACACAGCTTGGGATCGAACACTGCGATGAAATATGAACCTGTCTCTGATGATTACCGCAGCACCATCTGTGCATTGGGACGGCCAAAGGCTCGACTGATTGATGAGACCCCTTAAGGAGGAAAGAGAGCAGGGGACCTCATAGTCACACACACACTCTCCAACCCATCCACTCTGTTTGCCTTACCACTAGCCATTGTCTCCAGCAAAAACCTCCACAGGTCCCACTTCACTCACTTATCACCTTCCTACGGCTGTTAGCATGTCTGAAGAATCCCTGTGGAATGAAGATACACACTCCAAACATCTATGTGCCAATCTGACCGTCTCATTATATGACACTGCACCACAGTTTGACTCCAGGCCACACATATTGACCCCAGGGGATTTAACCTTGATACAATTTATTTAACTGATCAGACAAGTTGGTATAGCGACAGGCCTATTTAAGATCACAGTGGACCACCATGTTGTGCACAAGTGGTGAATCTGATCAAACCGGTCTAGAAAATGCTGTGAGGATTCCTCAATATGTTTTCCCCTCCTGTTTGGACCCTTCTATCTATCTATCCATCTATCCATCCATCCATCCATCCATCCATCCATCCATCATTTTTGGCCTTGGGTTGAGATTTTTGTATCATGTTTTACAAGCAAATACTATTTCACATTTAATTTAATGTGCTATTAGCCGAGTGAAAATTGTTTCTACATCAAATGTTGTATTAGTGTGCGTAAGTTACAACTTAGCCTAGCTGCAATGTAAAGGAGCAACGTTACAACTCATGCACTTATAACTTTTACACTAGATATTTTTGTGTTGCACCATTAAACTTAAAATGGTAAAATGTAACTCAAATTGATAAAACAGTAGACTGATTGAACTGCATTAATAAGCTCATGTTTTATGTGAGGCAAAAGACCGAAACGTCATATTATATGACTAGACATTATGGAGAGCTTACAACCTGCTAGCTACTTAAGTGCAACAGAATAAATAATAGAAAGTATAAATACCTATATATAAATATAAAAAAAAAGATATTTATCATTGTGGTGATGAACATTTGGGGGAAATCTGCTTAATTTTCACAATGCAAAAAAACGAATAGTCCTAATAATAGCAATCAATCAATCAAATAAATAATGCATATATATATATAAATATCGCTGATGTTTTAAACACTGTTTAAGGTCACTCTATAAATTACAAGCTTTCAAACCATTGTCAATTGCCATATATATGCTATATTAAAACTGCGCAACTGCGAAGACAAAAGCTAGCCAACCCATCAGGAAGCATCTTCAGTTGTCTGAGAGTCAAGGAGAGCCTGTGTGCAGCACAATACTGTCCTTTCATCTGAAATCCTGGTGCTGCTGAAGTGCGGCTAAAGTCAGGCTTAACATGTCATTTCATTACAGTTATCAAACAGTCAGCTCATGCGGGTGTTTATGGCTTGAATAGGGTGAACTCACTGATTTCTTTTTATGAGCCCTTCCACAGCATGAGAAACAAAGACCATCAGCAAATCCAAAATCCATTCACACGATTTACTTGTAAAAGCAATTAACATGGGACCTTCACTCAAGGCCACACTGACATGCAATACTGTTGTTTTATTGATCCGAGGTGATTTAGGTAATTACAACTGGGGTAATTAGCTACATCTTCAGTAATACTGTAAGACCTAAACTCTTTCGTTTACTGTTACCTGTTAAGTATATACAATTAATATAATCATTTGCATTTGTACATAGTTCACCTAAGCTGTTTTGCAAGTTTGCTCTTTGAGTTTCATATCATGTACAGAACTTAAAACGAAAGCAAAAGATAATGATTACCCTTATAATCTTAGCATTAATTAAATAACTCTTTGAAATCAAGTCTTCCATTTCGCTGTTCTAAGTGTTATTAACTGTAGTTTCACAGGAGCATCTTAAAACTGCTTAAACCTCCAATCTCAAACATATGAACGATTAGTAGACTGATGAGCAATACTGTTAAAAACCCCATGAAATGGATAATAAAGCAGATTTCACACAGCACAGTAAAACAGATTTTTAGCTGAAACCATGAAACCTTGGTGATTAATAAATGTCACAAAAAGCCAACGACTACTGTCACTTTGAGAGCCAAAAAAAGCATATCAGGCAATGCACAATTAATACCTGCGGCTCCTAATGATATATTCAAGTCTTATGAAGCGAAACGATCGGTCTGTGCAAGAAAATGAACATTATTTACAACATTATTGCCTGTAATCCAGAGCCTCAGGTAAACGGTCCGGAATGATGTCCGGTTCGTGAATGAACCATTCATTTGAACTGGTTCTTTTTAGTAAACTGAATGAACCAGTTCACCAAATCGGACTGAACCATCTGAAACAGTTCGTAGCTCGAGCAGCAGAGATCTACAAGTTACTCAAATCAAAACTCACTTTCGGACGTGTTCGACAGTCACTCCGACTCTAAAAAAGCCAAATACTGGTATATTATCCTATGAACTCTTTCAGCGCTCCAGTTACTGATGAGCTGCTGATACGAGTATGTGAAACAAGCACTTGAATGAAGGGGTGAAATTAAAGTTTTTATGGTTTCTCAAGGTTTATGTAAAAAGAAGAGTTGTTTAAGACTAGCTTATTCATTTGATACGCTTTAGACATGTAAAACACCCACGTTTCACATAATTATTGGGTGTTTTAATAATATAATTGCATATATGTTATTATTACATGGTTACGTAAACAAACTGGTCAATCAGTTATTTGAACCAGTAATTTTATGTTGCCTAATATGCTTTTTTGACTCTCAAAGTGACGGCAGCCACTGACTTGCATTTTATGAATCATTAAGAAGAAATCTTCTTTGCTGTTCTACTGAAGAAAATAGTCACCTACATCTTGGATGGCCTGAGAGTGAGTACATTAACAGCAATTTTTTTTTTTTTGGTGAACTCTCTCTTTAAATGTGTATATCTGATACAAATTAACTTTGTCAACTTTTTAAGAGCATGCCTGCCCTTAAAACTTAAAGAAACGCATTAAAAGCCACAAAACTCCAATTTTGAAGTTTAAAACTTTTCCAGTTTTAAACAATGATGGCGGCAAAAACGATCATCTATACTCACCATTGAGTCTATTGGGGATGCTCCTGTGATGATGTGGAGCGGAGAGATCATCCATAGAGCGTCTTATGGAGCCAATCTTAGTTTCTACAGTCTTGTGTATATGATTATGATGATGGTCTGGGCTGCCAGCACTTCCACCGCTGGAGGTACTGCTCCCATCGCCAACATCTCTGACAATGCTCGAACCTCCATTCAGGTTGCTCAGACTAGACTGGCTGTCTATAGAGCTCCTAGATCCTGCGCCATTCCTATCTTCATCCAACATGAGAATGATCTCCTTTAGTTCTGCATTCTCCCGGAGGACGTTTTCCTGGTTGCCTTCCAGCTCCTTGAGTTTCTGCTGATAGGTGCTCACCTCCTTCCACACGGAGCTGGCCGTATACCTCCCAAACCTCTGCCATTCCCGAGACAGCTTCTTACCTTTCTGCCGATCATCATCGAGAAAGCAGCAGAGCTCCCTGAGCTCCTGGTTATCGTCTTGCAGTTTCAGGTCTACACATTTATTACAGCACACATTTACCAACCAACCTATATTCGTTTATAATGTACAGTGAGAGAGGAGCAGATGGCTACCAGAGATATTTTACATTCCAAGACCTACAACTTTTTCGCTAAAAAGTGAAAAATGGCACGATTTGGTTCACAGGAAACATTCAAACAAACAAAAATGTAACAAAAAAACATCACACATACAGTATCAGATCACCTTGGTCAGACCAGATGTTTATTTCAGGACATTTAAGACAATTTTAACCTAGAATAACACTGAAAAGTAAAATTCACATAAAATAAAATAATACAATAAAATAAACTGACTTTTAAAAAATATATTAACTGCAGATTTACATTACTAAAAAAAAAAAAAAAAAACCTGTATCAGTTATTTTGAAGGCTATTAACATGTTAATAATGTTGCATCAACCACGTGTTTATATTCACCTATGTTTGGGTCCAATTCTATGTTCTATACAACAAAAATGTATTAAATATGTATTATTAAATGTTGGTAAATGTAGCATTCACTTCAATAAACGAGAACATAGTATGGTTTCAAACCAATAGTCACATGTTTCAGTTTTAGTAAGACCTTGACATGGCATTTTTGAATAATTGTTAAAATGTATTTAAAACCATAATAATAATAATAAATCAACAACAACAACAATAATAATAATAAAACGCTTTTTGTTTCGACCATAACCTTTTAGAGCTAATCAAGATCATCAGGATTACTAGAACAGGCAGGTGTTTTGGAGCTGGTTGGAACAACACTCTGCAGGACAGTGGTTTAGACTTTAGACAACAAAAATACTTTATACTACTGCAGAACTTTTGTTGGTGAACATCGCCCTCTAGTGGACAAAAAAATCCATCCGAGTATTACTTAAAGGCTATTCGTGGCGACGAAACCATCGACTAACAATCCGTAAAAACATAATTTTAGGTTGGCTGGTTCATAAAATATTTTCCTTTTTTAATATTTTACTTGAATACCTTAACCTTGAGCGTCGATCTCAATTAATTCTTATATTTTAAAAAATGTATACAAAAAAGTTTTATATATAAAAAAGTTACTTGTTACATTCTTTTTTTGGTACATAACGCAAAACGAAGTGCTAGATACTAGAAAAACAAAGTATTTTGATTAATAAATTATATTTTACGATTAAATATTTTAACCGCTTTTGAAGTTGCGGCTGGCTCCATAGCTCAGTGGTTAGAGCACTGGTCTTGTAAACCAGGGGTCGCGAGTTCGATCCTCGCTGGGGCCTACGTGGAGATTTTTCTTCAGACATGTTTATAATATATTATCTGTGCACCATAGTAAAGAAATGTTACAATTTCACCCAATACCAATAAGAAATACTGTACTTTAAGAGCAAAAGGACACCAACCCAGCTTTTATATTTTAATACACTGTTTAATCTCTTTGGTTAAGCAGCATATGTGTGTAATATAAAACCATTTTAAAATCAGATTAACAGAATGTTTCAGGATTTTGACATTTTTATATATATACCAGATATTTTTTACTACAGAACTTTTCACTTAAATTGTTAAGCTGATTTACCAGTAGTTTGACTGGTTCTCATTGAGCATGTAGCCTGTTATGCTTATATAATGTTCATATTTATATAATCTACACAATGTATTTAAATTGCCGCAAGCCCGCTGGCCGCTCCTTTGTCGAATCCGCCGGCCGCGCCGTTCTCAAGCCCGCCCGCCGCCGCTCACTCAAACAAACTCACTTTATGTTTACTGTGTGTGCTTCATCACCTGTGAGAAGACCTGCCCTAGACAGGTTCGTGGACCAAGTGCAAATGGGTAGTAGCAGTAATAAGGCCTTACAGATAAGAACACAATTAGAAATGACAGATTTCATGCCAAAATGTCACAATATAAAGGTGTATTCACAGGGGCGGCGTTTCAGTATAGCAGAACACCATACCCCGGCTGTGGATTGCCATACCCTAGGCGATCATCCCCTGCGACCCCAGACTGCAATTTCAACAGAGGGGGAACCAATGAGACTGTGATAATGACTTACTTTGGGGCATTCACATCAAATCTCTCTGGATCAAACTTCAACGGATCTTTAAAATAATTTTCCATTCTTTGGGAGAGGTAAGAACTGAACTGTATGGAAACAGACGAAAATGGTTCAAAATGTTCATGTTTTTATGAAGTGCAACAAGTAAAATTTATGACGCCATTGTTGTTAGAATTTATTGCTGATTTGAAATTATTAAAAAAAAATCAAATTTTGCTAAACAATGAATGTCTTTCTCCATTCAATCTGTACTTGCATTACTAGAAATAGCTGCCCCGGGCTGGTACCATGATGGCTACAGAATGAACAGACCAGTCTTACTGGGAATCTGACAGTACTCACAGCAACAGAACAGCCCCCTGGGATTTTCAGCCCATTTATAACCATGTCCTCATGTAGCCAGCGGCTGGTCCCTGGAGCAGTCGGATACAGACGCAGCGTTTCCTTCAACACCTGCAGCATTGAGTAAATAACACAAAAGACCATTTAAAGAAATCGATACAAAACCATTTGTGTTTGTAGCACGTAAAAGAACATCTTTGCCAACCAACCTGAGACAAGTAAGTGAATTTTCCAAGGTCTTCACATGAAATGTTTCTTTTCGTCCCAAGAATTTCATCCACCTCTGCTTTAGCCCTTGGAAGGAAAAGAAATTTGAATTATAAACCATTGCAAACAGTGCTGATGGAATATGTCAATTTCCAAGAAGTTTTTACCGTTTACCAGGATGTCTCTCTAATTCCATGATTGCAAACGAGAGCTGATTGGCTGTTGTCTCTTGCCCTGCAAAATAATTAAACACTATTTATAACGGCAGGGGTTTAGGAACAAAAATCAAAGCCGTAACTCACCAGCAATGAAGAAAGTCACAAAATTGTCCAACATCTGCTCATGATCTTATGCATCATTAACTTTTTCCTCCTCTGAAGCAAAAAACAGAAAGCATTAAATGGTTAAGTAACTCTACCTAATGTTGAATATGCTATATGCTAGGCGTCATGCCCATTCAAAGTGGGACACGTGCCCCCTCAGATTTGTGAGCCAAGTGGATTTTGAATGCAGCTTCCAAAAGACAAAAAAATAGCCGAATAATATTTTTTATATTTCATACAATCACAGCGGCGTGATTAGAAGGTGCAGTGCGCACAGCATCAGCTACTAAATTAAAATCTGCATTCGTTCGCTGGTTGGCGCTGAGCCAGAGAAAGACGCGTTTTTACATATAAAAACGTTATAAAAACGCATATACATATAACCAATCACACACGATTCTGTTGAGTTTATTAATGCAGTGGCCACGAGTGTAATGTAAGGATGTACGAATGTAAGCGACACGAGCATACGCAAAACAATATGATGTTTGTTATTATTCAAATGTTATATAGCCCACGTTTTTATAAAAAAAAATTTTTTATTTACCGCTTAGGCAATAACGTTGACAATAACGACGCAGCACTGAGATCTAGTAGTACCAGCACTGATATTTTGTCAGAATCAGAATTTAAGCGAATATCATTTATTTTCTTAATGAGCGCTGTCTCTGTGCTGTGATGTGGTCGGAAACCAGAACTTTAAGCTTTAAGTTACATTTCAAATGACAAGGGATCAACTTATAATCATGTTTTATATGACTTATCCCGTGAACTTATTCTCTCAAATGGCCTGGGTATGCGGAGCATTCGCAGCTCATATGGACGGAACGCCACTGCTATATAGTTGCATTAAACAAAAGTGTAAATAGAACAGATTCTTTTCAGACAAGTTTCTTACTTGTCTCTCGGAGGTCCAGGTAAATTATCCTATTTCTGATTAACATGATGAACATACAGACAATATGCAAGAAATGCACAGAAAACAGCAGCAAGCAAGTAAAACACAATATATGAGACCCTTTCTAAGATCATGATGGTGCTGTAGAGTTGCTCAGTGTATAATGCACGTCTGTCTGCCTTACTGCTATCAAATATTAAACGCTTTATTTCGGGGTCTCTGGACTTTGTTTTGAAGGGTTTTGGAAGATAGAGGGCGGTACCGGTCTTATTCCATTCCTACATTCTAAGACCATTGAACTGAGTCTGAGGCGCTTTCTGTTGTAGCATTCACCTTTCGGCACGCCACCTTTTGCCACGCCCATTACTCCGACCTGCAGCTACCCCTGTCTCGCTGAACATGACGCAGATCGTATTTTCTCATAACTCTTTATTTTCCTGACCCACTTCAGATCTTAAAGTCTCTACGAATGAGCAGACTAGTTGAATCGGGTGTGTTAGATGAAGGAGAGAGTGCTGGGGTGCTCCAGGACAGTTTTGAAAACCACTGCATTTCAGATACATGTTCTTAAATGTGACTCCCCCCTTTGGCCACGCCCATTACTCCGTCCTGCAGCTACCCCTGTCTCGCTGAACATGACGCAGATCGTATTTTCTCATAACTCTTTATTTTCCTGACCCACTTCAGATCTTAAAGTCTCTACTAATGAGCAGACTAGTTGAATCGGGTGTGTTAGATGAAGGAGACAGTGCTGGGGTGCTCCAGGACAGTTTTGAAAACCACTGCATTTCAGATACATGTTCTTAAATGTGACTCATGTATAACAAATACATGCATGCACAGTTTTAAGGCAGATTTAATCACTTTTTTGGTAACTTCATGACTTAACTGACGACATACGACATTGCATACTCGTAGTTTCATTTGCGCTTTAATATGAAAATATATACAGCGCGTAACTGCATTTGTGCATTCAATTGAAGAGCACGTATTGGGGACAGAGCATGTTCAATAACACAGCCAACATTCAGGGGTATTATTATTTTTTTTACTTCTCAGTTTATTGACATAACACACAACACTTTGCAAATGGCAGTACCACCTACAGGCACAATGAGGGAACAACAGTATTAATCCCAAACATAACATTTCCTCCCCTCATAATCAAGAAATAACACAATGCATTCTCAACAACGTTTTTATGTATTAATTTATGTTATACTCTAGAGGTAGACGGTAGACTGCTTCTTGTCTCCAGCCAGTTCGGGGATTATTCTGCCCCATGTCAGAACAGGCTCACTAATATTAATTTCTAATTGAACTAGGCCTCTTATTCCTAACAAAAGTTTGTTTCCAGAATAAAAAACATTGATAGTAAACAATTTAAAACACAAAACTACTTTCTTGAGCTTGGTGTTAATTACACTCACCGTGCACTTGGGGACACCCGGGGACAGAGCAAAGGGAACCCACTAATTTCAGTTCAGTCAGTTCAGCAGGTTTCCTTTTTTTTCTTTTTTTTCTTTTTTTAGAATTCTACATTGTCAGATGGTTTGAAGGTTTGATTACTCTGTGTGGACAATGTCTGACGGGCACCGATGGAATGTCAGATATGCCCTGGGCTAACTGAGACTGAGCTAATGGAACCTGTTGCTTCTTTTGTAATGGTGTGGAAGGAGTGACACTTACAGAGGTCTGTACAGGAGCAGGCATATCCTTGATGTCAGGGGATTGTGCCACCTGAGTTTGCTTGTCCACTCCCATGGGTGGAGGGCTGCTTGGCATGGCAATTTCTGTATCTGTTGGCATTACTGACACTTTTTTTACCTGGCGTTCAATGTCAGCATCGAGAACTGGCCAACACACACTAATGCGAGCAATGGCTTTCATCCTGACAATTCCAGGATGACCAGTGTGCAATTCTTCCAGTACTCTTCCGTGCAGCTTGTGGGGAACAATGACTTTCATGCCATGCATTAAGCACCCATGCTGGACTGACAGTTAATCACGTCTGGAGATGAAAGGTAAGAGTTCATTGTTACTGGCCAGGTTCACTGCTTGAGTCCCTTTTATGACCATTTCAAGGACTAAACACAAGGCTGGGTCAGTCAGAGTCTCACGCCAAATATCAGTAGCCCTTACAGGGAGTTTCTCAATCTGCCCCAGGTAGAACAAATATACATTGGCCATAGGCATTTGCATGGTCTTCAGTCTTTTTATACTCAATAGTGTAGTTATGCGCAGACAGAAGTAAAGGCCTGCCTTTGCATTCGCGCCACTGCCATAGACGGAATTCCCTTTTGGGGACCAAAGATCGTAGTGAGTGGTTTGTGGTCTGTGAAAAGCATGAACTTTCGAATGTAGAGATACTGGTGGAATTTCCGGACTCTGAATACAATTGCAAATGCCTCACGCTCAATCTGTGCATAATTCTGTTCTGCCGTACTAAGTGTGCGTGAAGCAAATGCTATAGGCTTTTTTTCACCATTGGGCAACATGTGGGAAATGACAGCCCCAATACCATAAGGTGACGCATCACATTTGAGGCGGATGGTGTTCTGAGGGTCATAGTGTGTCAAGACATTTTGTGACACCAGTTGTTCCTTTGCCTTTTTGAATGCAGTGTCGTGCTCGACAGACTACTGCCAGCGTGTTCTGTTACAGAGCAGTGCATTCAAGGGATTCACTATGGTTGCCAAATTGGGTATAAATCTCCCATAATAGTTTAACAGGCCCAGAAACGATATCAACTGTGTGACATTTGATGGTGTTGGTGCATCAACAATTGCTATTACTTTGTCAGGCGACTTGAGTAAGCCTTCAGCATCAATTATGTGACCCAGGTACTCCAATGTGTCCTTGAAAAAGTCGCATTTGCTTTTTTCATCATGTAAGCCGAACTGCTTCAGCCATCCAAGAACTGCATCCAGGTTTTCCAGGTGTTCAGCTTCGGTCCGCCCAGTTACCAGAATGTCATCGAGGTAACAATGGACATTTGGTAGGATTTGTAATATTTGGTCCATAGATCTCTGGAACATGGCTGGCACTGAAGTGATCCCAAATGGAAGACAATTATATTGGAATGGGCCTTTCTCAGGTGAAATTACAAGAATCTGCTTGGACTCTTCCTCAACCCTCATCTGAAGGTAAGCATGCGATAGGTCTAATTTACTAAAACACGACTCCTGCTAATGAAGCAAACAGGTCCTCAATGCGCGGTAGGGGATAGTGTTCAATGTGTACGGTGGGGTTTACAGTCACTTTAAAGTTGCCACAGATGTGCACAGATCCATCTTTCTTTAAAACAGGGACTATTGGAGTAGCCCATTCACTGTACTCTACAGGAGACAATACACCAATTTCAGTGAGACGGTTCAGTTCAGCCTCAACTTTTGGGTAAAGGGCTTACGGAACAACCCTATGTTGACAAAACTTGGGTTTGTGTTCCAATTTCAATGCAATTTTAGCTTTGATGCTTTTCATTTCTCCCAATTGTTTAGAGAAAACGGCAGCATGTTTCTAGAGTCTTAATTTTGACTGTTCTAATTTCTTTCCAATTCAATTTTATCTGACGCAATGACTCTCTGCCATAGAGTGGTGCGTAGTCCCCCTGCATAACATATAATGGAAGAAGAGCTGTCTGCTTATCCATTTTGACATGCACATCAATTACACCTTCAGGATGTAATGCGTGTCCAGCGAAAGTTTGAAGATCAATGTCAGTTGAGCGTAAGGGCAGGTGTTTTAGCATCCTGTCATAGGTCTCTGTTGAAATCATTGAGACTGCGGCACCAGTGTCCAGTTCCATTTCTAGTGCAATACCCTCAACTTTTGGTTTCACAATGATACTGGACTTTTCTCCTGGCTGCAACAGTTTATACAGGGCTAAATCAGAGTCTGTGTCACCATCATTGGACATTTCATATTCATCCACACGGTGGGCCCCTTACTACCAATTAAGCATTGTTTAAACACCACAGTATATTAAGGAAGTTCCAAAGGCATAAGTGGGTCCAATCTGGCACTAGTAGGGTGACCCTAATAAAGTGCACGGTGAGTACAATTAACACCAAGCTCAAGAATGTAAGTTTTGTGTTTTAAACCATTTATTACTGTTTATCATTAATGTTTTTTATTCTGGGAACAAACTTTCATTAGGAATAAGAGGCCTCTTACAGCCCTCTCTTTCTGTTTCTTTCTGTGCTTACTCTCAGTCACCATATCAAATGTAAGAAAGACATACCATGTAACTCAAATCACAACTGTTCTCATTTCTTTTAGCCTTTGCATTCGCGCCACTGCCATAGACGGAATTCCCTTTTGGGGACCAAAGATCGTAGTGAGTGGTTTGTGGTCTGTGAAAAGCATGAACTTTCGAATGTAGAGATACTGGTGGAATTTCCGGACTCTGAATACAATTGCAAATGCCTCACGCTCAATCTGTGCATAATTCTGTTCTGCCGTACTAAGTGTGCGTGAAGCAAATGCTATAGGCTTTTTTTCACCATTGGGCAACATGTGGGAAATGACAGCCCCAATACCATAAGGTGACGCATCACATTTGAGGCGGATGGTGTTCTGAGGGTCATAGTGTGTCAAGACATTTTGTGACACCAGTTGTTCCTTTGCCTTTTTGAATGCAGTGTCGTGCTCGACAGACCACTGCCAGCGTGTTCCGTTACAGAGCAGTGCATTCAAGGGATTCACTATGGTTGCCAAATTGGGTATAAATCTCCCATAATAGTTTAACAGGCCCAGAAACGATATCAACTGTGTGACATTTGATGGTGTTGGTGCATCAACAATTGCTATTACTTTGTCAGGCGACTTGAGTAAGCCTTCAGCATCAATTATGTGACCCAGGTACTCCAATGTGTCCTTGAAAAAGTCGCATTTGCTTTTTTCATCATGTAAGCCGAACTGCTTCAGCCATCCAAGAACTGCATCCAGGTTTTCCAGGTGTTCAGCTTCGGTCCGCCCAGTTACCAGAATGTCATCGAGGTAACAATGGACATTTGGTAGGATTTGTAATATTTGGTCCATAGATCTCTGGAACATGGCTGGCACTGAAGTGATCCCAAATGGAAGACAATTATATTGGAATGGGCCTTTCTCAGGTGAAATTACAAGAATCTGCTTGGACTCTTCCTCAACCCTCATCTGAAGGTAAGCATGCGATAGGTCTAATTTACTAAAACACGACTCCTGCTAATGAAGCAAACAGGTCCTCAATGCGCGGTAGGGGATAGTGTTCAATGTGTACGGTGGGGTTTACAGTCACTTTAAAGTTGCCACAGATGTGCACAGATCCATCTTTCTTTAAAACAGGGACTATTGGAGTAGCCCATTCACTGTACTCTACAGGAGACAATACACCAATTTCAGTGAGACGGTTCAGTTCAGCCTCAACTTTTGGGTAAAGGGCTTACGGAACAACCCTATGTTGACAAAACTTGGGTTTGTGTTCCAATTTCAATGCAATTTTAGCTTTGATGCTTTTCATTTCTCCCAATTGTTTAGAGAAAACGGCAGCATGTTTCTAGAGTCTTAATTTTGACTGTTCTAATTTCTTTCCAATTCAATTTTATCTGACGCAATGACTCTCTGCCATAGAGTGGTGCGTAGTCCCCCTGCATAACATATAATGGAAGAAGAGCTGTCTGCTTATCCATTTTGACATGCACATCAATTACACCTTCAGGATGTAATGCGTGTCCAGTGAAAGTTCGAAGATCAATGTCAGTTGAGCGTAAGGGCAGGTGTTTTAGCATCCTGTCATAGGTCTCTGTTGAAATCATTGAGACTGCGGCACCAGTGTCCAGTTCCATTTCTAGTGCAATACCCTCAACTTTTGGTTTCACAATGATACTGGACTTTTCTCCTGGCTGCAACAGTTTATACAGGGCTAAATCAGAGTCTGTGTCACCATCATTGGACATTTCATATTCATCCACACGGTGGGCCCCTTACTACCAATTAAGCATTGTTTAAATACGGAACAACCCTATGTTGACAAAACTTGGGTTTGTGTTCCAATTTCAATGCAATTTTAGCTTTGATGCTTTTCATTTCTCCCAATTGTTTAGAGAAAACGGCAGCATGTTTCTAGAGTCTTAATTTTGACTGTTCTAATTTCTTTCCAATTCAATTTTATCTGACGCAATGACTCTCTGCCATAGAGTGGTGCGTAGTCCCCCTGCATAACATATAATGGAAGAAGAGCTGTCTGCTTATCCATTTTGACATGCACATCAATTACACCTTCAGGATGTAATGCGTGTCCAGCGAAAGTTTGAAGATCAATGTCAGTTGAGCGTAAGGGCAGGTGTTTTAGCATCCTGTCATAGGTCTCTGTTGAAATCATTGAGACTGCGGCACCAGTGTCCAGTTCCATTTCTAGTGCAATACCCTCAACTTTTGGTTTCACAATGATACTGGACTTTTCTCCTGGCTGCAACAGTTTATACAGGGCTAAATCAGAGTCTGTGTCACCATCATTGGACATTTCATATTCATCCACACGGTGGGCCCCTTACTACCAATTAAGCATTGTTTAAACACCACAGTATATTAAGGAAGTTCCAAAGGCATAAGTGGGTCCAATCTGGCACTAGTAGGGTGACCCTAATAAAGTGCACGGTGAGTGCAATTAACACCAAGCTCAAGAATGTAAGTTTTGTGTTTTAAACCATTTATTACTGTTTATCATTAATGTTTTTTATTCTGGGAACAAACTTTCATTAGGAATAAGAGGCCTCTTACAGCCCTCTCTTTCTGTTTCTTTCTGTGCTTACTCTCAGTCACCATATCAAATGTAAGAAAGACATACCATGTAACTCAAATCACAACTGTTCTCATTTCTTTTAGTTAAATAATTAAGGAGTTGTTTTTCAAGTAAGAAGTGCTGGAATGTTCCTGCAAGAGAGTTCAATTAAATGCTAGGCAGAGCAAAGACATCATCAGCAGATAACTGTTAAATAACTGTGAAATAACTCTCCCAAAGGATGTGATGTTTAAGTGTTGTTTTGTCAAGTGTAACTGCTGTCAAGGTTAACAGGCCTTGGGAGAGTTTAAATGGGTAATAGAAAACCATTTTATCAATTGCATGACTTCATTTGAGGTATTATTATGGGATTCTGAGGAAGACTAAAGTGGATGAAGATGAACCGTAAGTGTACATGTATGGCAAACAGGTAATATAGGCCTCATGATAATCTGTTCAGTTGTTTATGCAATCAGTTTTTAAAGTCTTTGTTCAATGGTAAATAAATATGCATGATATGCAAAAAAAAGTATACACCGTGTATCTGCCCAATAAACTTTGAAAACTGAGCACTTTGTGTGTGTATTCACTTTGTGTGTGTCAATTCTTCCTGTGGCCATGCAGACCATTGATGACTCAGAGGGACTAAAAACCAATTGATAATTAACTAAAGAAAAAAAGAGAAATCTCAATTTTATTCTGTCAAACAAAAGGAGATAATTAGATATGGGATGACAAACATAACGACTTAACTCGTTACTTTACCATAGTAGGCCACAGTGCATTGTTGGAGAAATTAAAGGGGTCATATCCAGTAGCCTACAATGCGTCTGTGGCACAAAGGCTGTTTCTATAAAATGGGGCAGTTCCAACTTTGCAAGGGCAGTTTGGCGCTTCTGACTCAAAGCCTGTAAGTACGTTTTTTATATTTAAATAATTTGCCACTGATGATTCAAACGCAAGTTTTGAGCAGTGTAGTGTAGGCTTGTTGTTTGTCCGATAACAAATGCAGACATGGTTTTATGTTTACGCAGTGCGATACGCAATGCAAAAGAAGACGCAACGCAATAAAAAGACAGTATAAGTCATTATAATCAGTAATGTCCCCACTGGATGCAACAAATGCCTCATTTGTAATGGGTTTTATTGGTTTTGCCTCCTCCTGCTGGGAGACGGCATCACAGTATGTTAAGGGGCTTAACTTTTCCGTCACACGCTTGAGGCATTCGGCCAATCACAACGCACTAGACAGCTGGCCAATCAGAGCACACCTCGCTTTTCAGAACGATGAGCTTTGTAAAAATCGACGCGTTTCAGAAAGGTGGGGCATAGAGGAGAAACAATAATGTACAGTATGTGGAAAATAATGTTTTTTTTAAAACCTTAAACCGCATAAACACATTTAATTACACCAAATACACAAAATAATGTTCTTTTTAGCAACGTCATATGACCCCTTTAAGTAGCTAGTCACAGAAACAGTGGGAACTTTGTTGCACATCTGTTATTCAAATCAAGCAGGTAAAAAAAAAAACAGCTGTGGTACTTTTGTGTTTTTTTAAAAAAGCTTGACACTGGTTGCTATCTACAATTTATAGACGAGTGTGAGATTTAAAAATATATATATATATCCTTTTGTGGTCCAGAAAAGAAGAGCTGATTCATTCATAGGCGCTTATGTATGTTTCTGCTCACCCTTCATTTTTTGTGTTTTCTTATAATAAAGTTAACATTAGCTGGATATTACATTGTTACTTACTTATCAGCGCTTTGAAATTGGAGATTCATGAGTCCATTCAGCATACTCGTTTTTCAAATAAAACAAATAATCCAAACATAAATGAAATCATATAGGATGAAGCCCCTACATTAAGTATAGATGTTTACTCTTATTGTAGATCTGCAGAACTGTAATTTCCGTCTTTGAAGCATACTGCCATAAAACTGCATATGATCGCCTAAACTGGAGCTACTGATAATGAAAACTGCCCAAACAAATACGTTTTATCCACAGGCTACAGACTTTTTATTTAATGTTGAAAACATCACAGAATCATGGAAGTATGAAATGAAAGCATAACAAATGACAAGTCTTAATCAATGTTTGCATTTTGCAATACTAGCTGATTTTGTGAACGGAACAAACAAAACTCCATTAACTAGACACTCTAATGAACCAGTTTTGTGTATTACGACCCACAGTGAGATCCACAAATCAGAGGTTCCCATACGTAGAATATTTTGTGTTTTTCTGTGGGTGTTCAGGTTCCCATGGGATATTTGAACAAAAATAGCAGGGCCTAGTTGGCGACATGTCTTAATAAATGAATCATAGTATCATTCTTTCATGTAGTTTATCTAGTCATTGAATCGTTGACTTACCCGATTCAAAAAAGCTGAATAGTTCAAGATGAAACAACACTCTCCGTGTTGCTGAGAGACAACTGTTCTGCTTTGTTTAGAAATTTTCTTTGGCAAAATAGGAAAAAAACAAAAACCCTAGTCAAAATTATTCAGTAACAATGTACTGACAGGCTTTTTATATGTGACAGAAATGTATTCATAAAAAAAGAAAAAAAAGAAAAAGTGAATATCTTGAAAACATTTTTCTTTATTTCTTACATTTCATCAAAAACTTAGATGAGATCAGTGCTGAACAGTCTTCAAACATTTTAAATGTCAATTGGAATATATGAAAAGGATTGTAGGTGATTTGAGGATGTGAAGAATGCAGCCTTCTAAACACACAGCTGAGAGTCATGAAACAAAGGCTACCTTACAAGCATCCTTCAAACTGAGAAGGCTAACATGTCACTATGTCAGACTTTTAAAATTACCATTATAATGGTCTAGTTGATTGCAATTGGTTAAAAAATAGTAGTAGACTTATTTTAGACTTAGAGCAGCTATAAAACTTGCAGTTATTAACTCCAAAACACAGTATCATCATTGCAAATAAGGAAAAAATGAGAGGAAACACAAAAGGCTCATTTCAGATGAACAAACCACAGAACAGATCACCACGAGATTCATGCTGGTTAGAAATGTGTCCGAGTGTTGTCTGACTTGCTCTGATGTCATGCTGACATATGTCAAAAAACTCTCGCAATGATGAGACTCTTTTTGGTTAATGTTTGAATAATACAAGATGATGTATGCAGGCATAAGTACACAAGAATTGCTACAAAACAAGGGCCATAAACATGTCCTATGAGCAGTGTTTAATGTTGCAGATTACTCCGCTCTTGGGCCGTAGAGTTCCTGTGTCTTTAATGTCAAAAGACTGTTCAGGAACCAGACTGAACTCAAATCTCTGAAGCAGTTTGGCAAGCACAACTTTTGCCTCCATCTGAATGTAGAAACATGACAGAGTGGTCAAGATCACAGCAAATTTGGCACTTGGAAAACAAAAGTATAAATCAAACATCTAAAGCAATTCAACACATGAGTGTGTTCTGAAAGTCTAAAAATTCTGAAGGAGAAAGGAAGGTGCAAACGTGTGTGTGTCTGTGTGTGCTTCATCACCTGTGAGAAAACCTGCCCTAGACAGGTTCGTGGACCAAGTGCAAATGGGTAGTAGCAGTAATAAGGCCTTACAGATAAGAACACAATTAGAAATAAGCAGATTGCATGCCACAATGTCACAATATAAAGGTGTATTCATGTCGTAAATACCATAATTACAAGAATCGGACTTGTAAAAATCACTCACATCCTCATTAAACTTGTATAGTAATTACAATTTGAAAATACTTACTGCTTTAACATCATGCCAAAACGCTTTAAATGGCAATGGCTTTAGCAGTAAACTGTAGTTAAGTAGTTATTTCATAATATTTATGTTTAATGATTTCTATAACTGCCTAATGTTAATGTATTAAAAATTTATGAATAATCTGAAAAAAAAAACAAAAAACATACAATACAGCAGCTAGTACACAGTTAAAAAACGCTGGTAAATAAACTATACATTTATTAATAAGGCACTTGCGTAAGGACTGTTATTTGTTATATTGTGGTTTTGATTACTCAAATTACACAGATTGCATTAATGGTGTTGCCATGGAAATCACACGTCCAAGGATGTGAACATCTTAAAGTAGAATGTCAAAAATGGTAATCTCGTAATTACTGTAATTATGGCGTGAATGCAGCATATTTAAATACTAAAACAGAGGGTAAAATGAGACTTACTTTGGGGCGTTCACATCAAATCTCTCTGGATCAAACTTCAACGGATCTTTAAAAAACTTTTCCAGTCTTTGGGAAACATAAGAACTGAACTGTATGGAAAGATTTGAAAGTTATTCAAAATACTCATATAAAATGTGCTCCCCTTCAAGGGAACTCGCGCTGCATCGAAACACTGTGGGAACACCTCTGTGTGGTCGGGTCCTGTAGCACGTGTGAAATCAGTCCAATTGGGTGGTTAGACGTCATGGTCGGGTGACGTAGAGACCAGAAAGCTTAAAAGTGCATCCAGAAAACTTTTGTGTCTTCAGCAAGCACTCTGTGCGTATGTCAGAGTTTTATGCTGTTTGTCTGTGCCAGTGCACAACCAAAGTAGTATTATAGCGAGCAAAGAGTCTAAATCAGACAAGCAGCATTTTAGATTGTGTGTTCCTCCCTGCCCACATTACATCACGGATGGGGATTCACACAATCTTTGAACTGCTTGTTTGGGAGGGAGAATGCACGGCCAGCTCTCGAGAGGGGCTGACTGTGCTCATTGTGAGCGGCCGCCGCTGCGAACGCTCTGCTCCCTCCGGGCACTCTTTGAGGAGGATGCCCAGGCTCGCGAGCCTCAAGGTTCTGGTCCCACTGCTGCTGAGGCAGAGCAGCAATTGAGGTTGTGGGGCTTGCAAATGGATCTAACAGAGGGGTTAGAGACAAGCTCTGGCGTCAGGTCAATCCGGGGTATGTATGCATACTATGGCTCTATTGTAGGCATACCGGGGAGACCTGCTAAAAGACCTTGATGGGAGTGAGGGGGTAGATCCGGATGCAATCCAAAAACTGCACCGGGCCACAGATTTGTCTCTTCAGGCCACTAAGAAGATGGCCAGAGCCGTCAGTCGTTCTATGGCAGCCCTGGTGGCCATGGAGAGGCATCTGTGATAGTACTTATCTAACATCAAAGAGAAGGACAAGTTATTCCTTCTGGATGCTCTGCTTGCACTTTCTGGCCTGTTCGGCAACGCTATCACCTCAGTCATCGACAGGTTTTAGGAGGCTAAAAAGCAGGCAGCAGCGTTCCAGCACTACCTCCCTCACCTGGCCTCAGGTCTCAGTGGCTGCTGGACGGGAGCAGCCCCAGCCCTCGTCCAGCTCCTCATATCATGCCTCAAGACCTCTCAGCCGAGGTCTTCTAATGAGAAGGTAGATCTGAGGACCATTATTCTCTCTAAGAAGGCCTCAGTGAAGAAGTCCTGACACCACGAGCATCAGATTTCTGAGGGCAGACCCCTTTGGGGAGGAACGGTACACCTCAGCATACGGAGCACGTTTCTAATCAGTGCCCTCAGGGGGCCGTTCTGTTAACCCTGCCACCTCCGGTTGCAGCACTGGCGGGTTAGCACCCTCCAAGGAGGTTATTAGAGAGGCCAGTTTGGTTGTCCCCTGCCAGTCATCCACTTCAGGGTGCCAAATTTACTTCTCAAAAGGATGGTTCCCTTAGTAGACCATCTGGCAGCGTGGAAGCTTCTGCCAAATGTGTCTCAATGGGTTCTGCAGACTGTAGAAAGAGGTGGATCAGCACCTAGAGACGACCTCAACAGCCCTGAATGTCAGCAAAGACCATGTCAACTAGATGAACCCTAGAGAAAGATTTCCTGCAAAGACCTCGTTGGCCATCGGCACAACTTCTCAGCAAAGGCTATGAGAACCAGCTGAGTCCTCTGCTCAATCTGACTTGTGTTGCAGCCTGGAATTAAACCACACCATGCTGGTTTCGTCTGGCCAGAGGAGAACTGGCCTGATTTCTCCCAAGGTTTTTTTCTCCATTTCTGTCACTGATGGAGTTTTGTTTCCTTACCACTGTCGTCTTTGGCTTGCTTAGTTGGGGACACTTCATTTCATTTCTGGTAATATTGTCGACTTGATTGCATAGACACTATTTTAAGAGAACTGAACTGAGCTTGACGATGACAACACTGAATCAACAATGAACTGACTTTAACTGATTAAGTCCTCTTGCATTATCAGCACACGCTTTCCCTGTTTAACACTGTAAAGCTGCTTTGACACAATCTGTATTGTATAAAGCGCTATATAAATAAAGGTGACTTGACTTGACTTGAGTATCGGGTTCTTCCGTTCGACCTTGCAGTGTCACCCCACACTTTCACCAAATGCGTGGATGCTGCACTGGCTCCTCTATGATTCCAGGGCATTCACGTATTAAACTATATAGACAATTGGTTGATATTAGCTCAGTCAAAGCAGATGGCTGCTCTGCATCAACATGTTGTCCTCACCAATATGAAAGAGCTTGGGTTAATGCTGAACGCCTCTCCAGTACAGAGGACCACTTAACTTAGAGTGGTTTGGGATTCGACGACAATGCAGGCAGCTATCAACGGAGTGAAGCTAAGCCAGTCACACACTGTAAAACAGTTTCAGAAACTGTTGGGTCTGATGGCAGCAGCGTCCAACGTGATAACTTTTGGCCTGACCAGGAGAAGCTTAATTTGGTGTGTCTGGTGAGAGCGCTGGACACTTATGTCCACAGAGCTGCCCTGCGGAGAAAGACTGATCATTTGTTCACCTGCTTTGGTCTGCCTAAGAAAGGGTTCCCTGCGACCAAGCAGACATTGAGCAGGTGGATAGTCGAGGTTATCTCCCTCGCTTATGAATCCTCTGACATTCCTTCGCCTTCAGGGGTCAGAGCGCACTCAACTCAAATTATGGTGGCTTCTAAAGCTTTTCTTTCAGGGGTGTCCCTGCAGAAGGTTTGTGACGTGGTGGGCTGGTACTCCTTGCTCACATTCATCAGATTCTATAATTTAGACCTGGGATCTACGCCAGGCACTCAAGTTCTCCTGTCATAGCTGTGCTCGCCATAATTCACACTAGACAGGTATTTGTCAGCATGGCAAAGTGGGTGTTGTCGTTCCCACAGTGTTTCGACGCAGCACGAGTTCCCTTGAAGGGGAATGTCTCATGTTACGACTGTAACCATGGTTCCCCGAGAGGGAACGAGATGCTGTGTTGCACTGCCATACTTCCTGCATCTCTGTGAGCGACTTGCTTCGATCTTTCAGAAGCTAATGCTGTTTGTTCTGGATGCGCTGAAGGGGAATGTCTCATGTTACGACTGTAACCATGGTTCCCCGAGAGGGAACGAGATGCTGTGTCGCACTGCCATACTTCCTGCATCTCTGTGAGCGACTTGCTTCGATCTTTCAGAAGCTAATGCTGTTTGTTCTGGATGCGGTTTAAGCTTCCTGGTCTCTATGTCACCCTACCCGTGACGTCTCGCTACTCCATTGGACTGATTTCACATGTGCTTCTAGACGTGTTCACACAGAGACTTTCCACAGCTTTCCAAGCAGCGTCTCGTTTTCTCTCGGGGAACCATGGTTACAGTCATAACCTGAGACTTTGCACTTTTATTACTAGAAATATACCCCTGAACTGGTGCCATGATGGCTACATAATGAATGGACCAGTCTTACAGGGAATCTGGAGATACTCACAATAACCGCACAGCTCCCTGGGATTTTCAGCCCATTTATAACCATGTCCTCATGTAGCCAGCGGCTGGTCCCTGGAGCAGTTGGGTACAGACGCAGCGTTTCCTTCAACACCTGCAGCATTGAGTCAATAACACAAAAGACCATTTAAAGAAATTGATACAAAACCATTTGTGTTTGTAGCACGTAAAAGAACATCTTTGCCAACCAACCTGAGACAAGTAAGTGAATTTTCCAAGGTCTTCATATGAAATGTTTCTTTTTGTGCCAAGAATTTCATCCACCTCTGCTTTAGCCCTGGGAAGGAAATACATTTTAATTAAAAAGCATTTTAATGCAAGACGGATGGAACAGGTCCACATTTCCAAGAAGTGTTTTACCGTTTATATATCTCCGGCTGTCTCCCTAATTCCATGATTGCAAATGAGAGCTGATTGGCTGTTGTCTCTTGCCCTGCAACAGAAACAGAAAGCGCTGTTTATAACGGCAAGGGTTTATAAACAAAAATCAAAACAGAAAGCGCTGTTTATAACTGCAAGGGTTTATAAACAAAAATCAAAGCCGTAACTCACCAGCAATGAAGAAAGTCACAAAATTGTCCAACATCAGCTCATGATCTTTTGTGTTATTAACGTTTTCCTCCTCTGTAGCAAAAAATGGAAAGTGTTAACTGTAAAATAACTCTAAAATGCACATATTAATATTTGTTGAGAGAAATTTTTCAACATTACAATGTTGTAGCAGATGAGTAATGTACCGAACAGACATTTTTCAAAGTGACATCAGAAGTCAAGATATTGTTTGTTTTATTTCCATAACATTAAACATAAGCCTATAAGCCATTTTGTAAACAAAACCAATAATAATAATAATAATAATACACTTAGCATTTTAATGTCTCAGTATTTCAGTCCCAAATACCTGCTGTTTTGAGGATTTGTGTGAGAATGTCTTTGGGGACGTCTTCTCCATTTTCTATTGCTGTCTTCCTTTTTTGTATCCATTTCTTTCCCGTTTTACGCAGGAGTTCAGTTGCATCTTTAGTTTGTTGTACAGTCTTCCAATTCTTGGGAAAAAGCTGAGGTCACGCAAATGAAACAACAACAAAATGATTATATAGCATTAACCCTACTAATTTAGAATGACATCTATGGATAAATACTCTTACTGTAAAAAATGGGTCTCTGAGATAGAACACCATGCCCTTTAAACACTGCTCTACTGCTTTCTGGAAGGGGCTGTCAGTTTGCTTGAACAAATTCAAATCAACACCGAAAGCCGCCTGTGGATGAAAACATGACAACTAAGAACTGATCAACAGCAAATTTCACCTTCCATGTATTAGACCTCCCTTTGAATTAGAGGGAAGAAGAGTGAAACCTTGCAAATGACGTCGAGTGTGACACAGTTGACCAGGTCATGCATGATGACAGGTGTTTTCGTGTCGGCTATTTCCTCCAAATGGTCCATTAGGCGCTCAGACATCTCATTAAAAGTGCCCATCAAGCTTCGTAAGTATCTGGTGGATAAGACCGCATTAGCTGAGGTGCAGCTCTATCTCATTTCAGTATATCAGAGATGTTCTTGACTCACGTGCTGCTAAAGGCTGGATCCATGATGCGACGCTGCCTGTACCAGTCGTCATGGTCCATAGCCGTCACTAACCCATTTCCAAGGAACCTGAGAAGATTGATTCAGACTTTCACACCACTGGCAAAGCAAATGCCATAAAACATGCAAATCCATTTAAGCAGCATTAAAAAATAAATTGAAATTGTTGGATCCACTTTGATAATTTCTACAAACAGGAGATTCACGAGTTCACCCTTACATCTAATCTGATAGCAAATAGTAAGCATATTTTGGCGTTGTCCTGGGGGAGAAATCACTCGCATATGCGACTAAATCTTCACTCTGGGCGACTAAATGATGTATAATATTAGCCAATGGCTAATAAATTCTCAGATTTTACTCGCCAGTGTGTGAGTTGGAGGCTAAGTATAAGTTTAGCTCAGATATACGTATTTTCACTCGCCGAACACTCTGACTGAGCGCTTCTCCGTCAAGCGATCTGTGCTATTTTTCGGTTCATCTCAATGGATGCGCAGCGCACCTGTATTTGACGTACCGTAAACTCTAGTGTGAAGGCGCACGACTCGCCGTCGCTTTGTTTCACACACACGCAGAGAGAGAGAGAGAGAGAGAGAGAACTGACGCGTTACATGCAAACGATATTCTTTGTTGCATTTTCCTGTCAAAATAACAGCGGTCCTTTGGAATTCATCAGCTTTTAAGAACTGTGGGTTCGGGTTTTCCGGTAGTGGGCAGAGCTAATGCACAAACGGCAATCTCATTGGCTGGTGTTCACCTATTATCGTCCCTGTTTTGATTTCAGCAAATCAGTTCGAGCGAACGCACAAAACATGATTAATATTCATGAGTCCAGTAGCTCATTAATCCTTAGTGCGTTTCATATTGTTCTTATTAGTAGAATTCGTATCATTATTATCTTATCAGTATTTTTGTTGGTTTTTTCCTTTTTTTTTTTTTTACAGAAACACTGAATGACCAAAAAAGTACCACCACCAGTCCGAAGTTCAGTTAAAATGACTAATATGCATTCATACATGGTTATCAAGTTTTAATTCTAATTACTAAAGTTCTATCATTAAATAATATTGATTATCATATTATAATGCTTGACTGACTGATGTTAAGAGTGTACTTTCAGATATTTCAAAAACTGTGCCACTTTACAAACATTATATGGTGGATAGGCATCACTTTGAAGGCAGAAGTGATGTCTATAGCCAGCCACGCACCGCGGCCTACATTTTTTTTGATCATGGTGATCGCTTGATCTATATCATGGTAGTGCAGAGAATATTCCTCAAGTGGTATGAGGCTGTTTATGCTAGAAACTGGGGAATTACGTGGAACTGATAGATCGATTATCAAACGCTTTTTTCTCTGAAAATTTCCTGGTAGCCACTCCGATAGGGCTGATGCAAAAAATTTCAAAGGGGGGAAAATCGAAAGGTTCAACCGATCATAAAAACTGACTCGACTTCTTTTTTGATTAGATTATCTACTGTATCTGGCTCTGCGAGTGCGGATTGGAGATTGTTGCAAATTATGTTCTGTGAGAGCGGGCATAGGAGGATAGACGAGAAATATTGAGATCGATAAGTAGTTTCTAGATTTTTTATTGGTAGCTTTCATGACGGGGCATCCTGTAAGGGCATGAGCCCCGCCACAATAATTACAGACGTGGAGAAACTTGCATTGCTGTCTCACGCATCTTCCTCTGTTGAAATTTCTGCAAACCTGCTGGTTGTTGGAGAATGAGATAGCTTCTCTCCTAGAATTCGATATTGGATTCGTGGTTGCAGAAAGAGGGACGTAGCTGGTTGATTTGACTTGTGTCGGTTCTGGGCCGGGTATTATAGCGGGATTAATTTGGGGGCATGAGATAGTAGAGTGAGCTACTGACCTGCAGACTGCGCACGATATATTCCGACAACTGAAAAATACTCTGTTGTAAAGATCAGAGTCCAGTGCGCCCCAATAGGGGCACTGATTCCACTGAGCAACACGGTACCGCACATTTGGCTGAAAATAATTTATGGTACGTGTAGAAATGGGTTCCGCCATAAAACAGCGCGAGTTCAGCGACTATCGCCAGATAATCATTAAGTTTGCACCGTTTATGGGGAAAAGCAGAGCAGACTATTTCCGTGTAGCGGCCAAATGCTAGTGAATTCGGAAAATGAGAAGGGGCGGGATGAATTGGGAGTTGAATTTTTTTAATGTAACGGAGAAATATCCTCAATCTATTTGTCGATGAGATTCGGCGGGAGGTAGCAGCGAGAGGACAGATGAGAGATCAACGTCCGCACCTGCAAGAATCTGAGATTTGATGGTATTAGGCACAGGAGGTGGCTCCAGAGCGGCAGCATTCGGTGGGGTAGGTAGAGGGGCTGCTGTGAATAAAGTATACTGAGGTTTAGCTTGGATAGAAGGGTTAGAAGGAAGATAAGGAGGGGCCGTGACCATTTGCAGAGGTAGCCTCAAGCACGGATTAGCCCCTGGTGCTAGGGGAAGCCCGTAGGAAGAGGTAGAAGGAAATAAGGGAGGGGCCGTAACCATTTGCGGAGGCAGCCTCACGCAGGGATTAGCCGCTGGTGCTAAGTAAGCTGTAAACTTGCGTTGCTGGCTGATGATGCCCTACTTGGGCTGCTGGCCATTGATAGGGAAAAGGAATAGCGGAAGGGTAAAAGTAAGGTGGCTGAGCTTGAGCGGCTAGCGGAGGCAGCCTCACGCTTGCGTCTGCATCCGGAGGTAGAGTGGGAAGGATAGGAGGTTGGAAAGCCAACGCCAGTGGGCGATACTGCGTGCGGTGCGGTAACTGAAGGCGCCGCAGTGATTGGTTGAGAAGAGGAGGGAGGCAGTGCAGTGTGAGGAGCGGCCAAGTCTGGGGTGCGGCCCAGGTTTGCTGATGGCCTGCTACGTCCTGACGCTCGAGGGGAGCCGGAACTTGATCTGGAAGAAGACGACGTTAGAGAGACATGATAACTTTTAGTCTTGCGGGCTTTAGTTACCTTTTTGGAGGTGGGTGAATTAGTATTTTCCAGAGAGATGTAAAGATCATAAAGTTGCTCATTTTTCGAGAAAACTTAACTTCAGAGTTTGACAGCGCTTGTCTCAATCCCACGACGGTCCATTTTCCAATGGGAGGGATGGATGGTGAAGCTGAGGCGTAAGAAGATGTTGGGGATTGTGATGGCTGTCTTGATGGTGGAGGTGAACGGAGACTAAGTGGCTTAGGTGTGCGAGTAGCGGGCCTTGTGGGCCTCCGCCCGCGTGCCGAGGCCTGGGGCTCGGCGGTGGATCCAGGCCAAGGAGGAAGCACCTTAGAGCCGGCAGAAGGAGGTGCCTTAGAGCCAGTGGCTTGAGAAGAAAGTGCCTTTGAGCCGGTGGCTTGCGGTGGAGCGCTCAGCTCGTTGTCAGACAAGAAGAGCTCGAGTTCAGACATTTTTTTTGGCAGTCGAATGAAGCTGGATGCCGGAAAACTGTCGTAGGACAGAGGCAGGTAGGCTGCATATATATATACACGTATTTTGCTAGTTAGGATGGATAGCTAAACGAGTTACACCTGTGCCAAATTGGTTGATTATCTGATCATGCTCCTCCCGAACCTTGTTAATAAAACATCATCATCAAAAAAATAAAAATAAATAAAAATCCTATGAATCCTAAAAATAGGCATATTGCTTTGTAAAATGTACAGGAACTAGCGCTGCACGATATATCGAAATTATCGAAATATCGCAAATGTAAATATCGCAATATGCATATAGCAAGGGCGTGCGATATCTGAATCATTTTAATAATAGGCAACTTAAATCAAAACGTTGCAAAAGGTCAAAGTTTTAGTTATATAGCAGAGCACAGAATTGCTTGACGTTAAAAAGAGTTAAGTGCAATAAGTTGCAGAAAACAACTCTTTGCCGTCTCGTCTTGCTGTCTGACTCACCCCTGAAGCGTGCGCACAAGCCGCATCTCGCGCAGCGTCTCTTCAGTACTGCCACACACGTGCAAATCGCGCGCGCACACACACACACACACACAGAGACGCATTTCAGATGGCGCGCAAACACAGAGTTGATTCGTCTTTCGCATCTCCTCCTTTTGTTTGAACAGACACATACACACAGAATTATGTCAATAGTACCCGTCTCGACGATCATTCTCGTAAACGCAGTCGGTTGTTTTAAAGGGGTCATATGATGCGATTTCAATTACAAGCTCTTGGTGCATAAAGAAGATCTGTAAAGTTGCAAAGACTAAAGTCTCAAATCCAAAGAGATATTCTTTATAAAAGTTAAGAGTCAGCCACACCCTCCTAAAACGGCTCGTTCTAACAGGCCCCCACATGTCTACGGATCGGCTTTCACCGTGGACAAAGCGGAGTCCAGCCCGGAGTCGTCACATGTCCTTCCGGACGCTCCTTCGTCGAAATCGCCTCTGCTCACTCTAACCCTCCCGCCGTTCCTCACGCTAGCCCTCGGCCTCTGCTCACTGTAGGCAGTGGTGTGTGACGCTGTTTTGTTGTGAAAGCGAAAATACTCTGTTTGGCCTTCCAAAAGAGGACACGACTAGAAATCAGTGGTTAAGTTGTATTTACAACACTGTTCCAGAACCCTTCAACCCAAATATTCAGATGTGTGCAGCAACGCAACATGTAAAAAGACAGTATAAGTCATTATAATCCGTAATTATGTCCCCACTGGATGCAACAAATGCCTCGTTTGTAATGGGTTTTTATTGGTTTTGTCTGGTCGTGCCGGGAGACGGCATTACAGTATGGTAGGGGCGTAACATTTCCGTCACACGCTTGAGGTATTCGGCCAATCACAACGCACTGGATAGAGGAGAAACAATAATGTACAGTATGTGGAACATAATGTGTTTTTTTAACCTTAAACCGCATAAACACATTTCATTACACCAAATACACAAAATACTGTTCTTTTTAGCAACATCATATGACCCCTTTAAATGAATGTAAACAGCTGAGAAAGGAATCGGATGTGTAGCATTATACTGGATCCGTGCAGTCGGATTTAAAGGGACAGCAGCCTATAAATACGTGCTGCTGAATATGTCACTAATGTTAATCAAACAACAAAACAGCTATAACAAAGATTAATCTAAATTTAATTCATACAGTGAACACTATGCAGTGTTATTTTACACTTAATTATTACATTTCTGTACCTGAATACTACTGTTTATTTTATCTATGCTTGTAAATTGTGTATTTCTTTTTTTTCTTTGTTTTACTGACTGTTCACTTGCCTTTAATCATGTTTCAACTTTGTCAGACTATAGTTTTTGCTGTGGTATATGAAGAAGTACTTAAAGTGTATGGAAAGCAAAGTTACAATGATATAAAATTAGTGTCATTAATTTTTTTTGTTTGTATGTTCACACTGATGTTAAAATGACATTTTCTGATTTGTGACATTACTTTTTATGTAATGCTAAAACACTGCTGGTCACTTTCAGAAGTTGTAGTGATTCTTTCTTTTCCAAGAAAGAATGTGAAACAAATTGGTTATATAATTTTCATTTTTAAATATTTTAAAATATAATTGAAATTGATTTTACACACTTTAAGCAATATCGTATCGCATATCGAATATCGCATTTTTTAACAAGGTATCGCATAACGCATTTTTCTTCAATATCGCACAGCCCTAACAGGAACCCACGAATAGCACAACATATCATTGTTTGCTTCATTTCACGATAAGCAGATACCCCTTTAAATACAATTGGATCATTCTGTCAATCATAATGTGGTGACTTCCTTCAAACAGGGATGAAAATGGGTCCACAAAAAGTGAGCAAATGAGCGACAGTTATATTTCATCACACTCTGTGGGGCAAATGTTCACCATTTTTACCACTATACATGTATTAGTTTCCATTATTTGTTTATATCCCTGTTTTTATGTCTTTTTTTCTTATTAATTGTGATCACAAAAGAGATTATATCTGAAGACCCCATGAAATGATGAGATTAATTTTCTTATAGTCAAGAAGACACACCGTCTGTACTAGTGATCGACCGATATTGATATTTTATAACCGATACCGATACCAATTATTTGCATGTTTATGTGCCCGATAACCGATATGCAGAACCGATATTTATTTACTGTTATAAAGTAAATAAATGACTGAGTGAAGTAAGAACATACTTCACTTTGGTTTTTCCTCTTTTCAGTCATCTTTTTTTTTTAAGTGTTGAAAATTAGCAGTCTTTCATGTTAAATTTAATCTTTATATTACAACAATAAAAAACATTTTATTTATAAAAAGCATCAACAGCAACAACACTAATATTAACAATAAGCAAAATAAAGGTAGAATGTCTAATGTTTTCAAGTGGAGAAAATGAATAAAGGACAGGAGTCATATCAACTTCATTTTAAACTACAGTTTTAGATGACTCCGTGAGTTGGTCTCTATTTCTTAGAGCCAAGCTGCATACACTACATATCAGGCATTTATATAATGCATCTAATTTGTACATAAATGGCTGTTATGTTAAATAAAGTTTACTAACTATAGCAACTATATCAAGTACCTGCATGCCTTTGTTGTTGTCTCTCTCCCCTCAGACACGCTGCAATGGCGATCCTGCGCGCAATTTTCAAAACGCCCACAAGATGGCGGCGTTTATCGGTGAATCCGATATTACAAAACCGATATCCGATTATGGTAAAATGCTTAAATATCGGGAAAAATATCGGTAAACCGATATATCGGTCGATCTCTAGTCTGTACTGTCTCCTCCAGTCAAATACACATATAGAGGAATATAGATGGATTTAAAGCTATCAAAAATGTACTTAATGCCACATAGCTCAGAGTTTGATTTCATGGGGCCTCTACCATTCAAAATTCTAGATGACATCTCTAGATCAAATTAAAGCTTACCGTTTTCCAAACAAGTTAAAGAGGCGTTTGTAGACAAAGGGATCTTTGGTATACTTAGGTGACATCAGGATTGTCTACAATAACGGGGCAGAGAATTTTATTTATTAGATTTTAAGGCTTCTGATTACGAACAGCAATGAAATTAAATATTTACCTTTGTAGCCTCTGGACAATGGACTTTGATCACAACATAATGAAAACTGTTCAGCCTGTAGACAGGGCCATATTTTTCTGCCCTTAAAAACACGAACACGGTCACAGTGCTGAGAACACGCTCTACTACATGCTTGTGTGTGTGTGTGTGTGTGTGTGTGTGTGTGTTAGAGAGAGAGAGAGAGAGAGATCTATGCAATATGTGATATTTCAGTTACATAACACTAACATTGTTTTGTAGGTGCAAGTTCAAATCAACAAGACACTAGTCAAGTAAAACAAAACAAAACAAGACAAATATATAAACAAATTATAAATGACAAATATTCTGATGGGTTTAAGTGTTTTGTTTTTACCACTGAAGAAATAAGTCCTGTACAAGGTTATCCGATTTCGCCCCTCTGGAAAAAGTTGGAATATGCCCCAGCAGAAAACTGTCAGGGTATTCGTTTTCATGTTATTTTATGAGCTTTGATAATAATAACAAAAAATGGTCTTATTAAAATATCTTAAATGTAGTTGTATCAAACATATTCATAAGTTTCTTACCTGTCTCTTGGAGGTCCAGGTATATGATCATATTTCTGATGAACATGATGAACATACATACAATATGTAAGAACCGCACAGAAAACAGCAGCAAGCAGGTAAAACATCATACATGAGACCCATTCTGAGATCATGATGGTGCTGTACAGTAGCTCAGTGTCTAATGTACGTCTGCCTTAGTGCTATCGAATCATCAGCTTTAACAACGTCTTTATTTCCGGGTCTCCTGGCTTGTTTTGAAGGGTTTTGGACGATAGAGGGCAGTGTTAATCTTATTTCGATTCCTACATTCCAAAAGAAAATCGGTCATCGGTGTGCCGAGGCACTCATAGCACCTGATAACCTTACTAACAATAGGCTATAGCCTATAGCTATGTCCCAAACTGAAGTGCGTGGACTTTTTTTTTTTTTTATTAATGCCAAGGTACTAAATATAAAAATACAGAGAATATCAACATTTCATACAAAGAGGTGACATTACATGCAAAACACCATTTATAGACGTATGTAACAATAAATAAATAATACAAAACGAAAGATTTAACAAAATAAATTTAAAAGATTAAATAAATTAACCGTTTTAAAAGCCTTGAGATTCTTGGGAGATTAAATAGTTTGGATATACTGTTGAACCTCTTTTTTTGTAAACAATATATAAAGGATTTTGATGAGTGAATTTACTGCGGTGAATATGACATTTTGCAAGAAGTAATAATAGGTTAATAATAAAATATTCATTAATTTTATCTTTTTGTATATTAAAGAAGCCAAACAGTACATCCTTAAAAAGCAGCAGAGAGAAACCCTGGAGTACACTGCGATTGATAACATTAGAAAATTCAATCCAAAATAGCTGTGTGTGAGGACAATCCCAAAAGATATGCATATCAGTTTCATTAGGGTCACCACAAAAAGAACAGCTTGTATCTATGTCTGATTTAAACCTTTTCAAAAACACTTTAGCTGGTCCTGTTTATTACCGTGAAGCTGCTTTGAAAGCATCTGTAGGCTATTGTATAAAGCACTATATAAATAAATGTGACTTGACTAAATGCACTGTAAAACAATTTTTGTAAATTGTTGTTGTAAATACACATTTAATTAGAGTATGTTTTAAAATAATTTTTTTTTTACGGTTTCCTACTCCTAAATTCAATGTGTTACTTGTTTTTTGTCATTGTTTGTGAAATGTAGCCTACTACCCTGATAGCACATGTACATCACGGAGACGTCTATTTGACATCTGCATTTACATCTGCAAGACGTGTTGTTTAGAGAGTTTGCTCATCTGCAATACATCTATAGGACGTTTCCTATCAGACGTCTTTAAAATGTCTTTAAGATGTTTCTGATTTAGAATGTATGTAAAACTGACATCTTAAAGACGTCTATCAGATGTTTGTACACAGCAGATGCTTTCCAGATCTTTAACAGACATCTTGCAGACTTTTAAGTGTGCTATCTGGGTAGCAATTTCTGAGTGAAAATTGTTTCTACACCAATTTATATTTCAGTGAATGTATTTTACGCTGTAACTGGTTTTAACCACCTTTTTACCTCAAAATTAAAAGTGCACTCATAAAAGTACAAATATTCCTTGTATAGTTTAATATAAAAGCATGCATAGTTACTATACTAGAATTAGAAATGATAGCAACCCCTGCACAAGCTGAAGATGCACAGAGGCACAGAGTCTCTCACACACACACACACACACAGGTCTGCCGCTGGCCGCTTGGTCGTTACTTTAAAAAAACTAAAACTTATATTTAACGGGAAAAAAAATTATCCAAATGTTTTTTAAATTAACTTCATAAAAAAACGAAACGAAATATAATCACTTTGCTATTACATACAAAACGGAATAGCTGAAACAGCTGAAACAGTAGTATAAGCTGTTTTGGGAGAAGGGGAAAAAAGACGCGCTCGGGCCGGTAAGCTTGTCGTAATTCTGATAAGCTTG